TTTTTTACTTTTTTCCAAAAACATAAAAATCCAGTAAACGAAGGGAAATCTTTGACTATCGGATTTGGGAAGAACACACATAAACACCGCATTACGCATGCGCAACTCTTTTGTTTATGACAGCAAGAAGAAGCGAGAAGAAAATTCCTTGGGCATTTGAGTACCAGTCTAATGATCGTCAATGCCATTAAAAGAGGATTATGGGCAATGAGACAAAATCATCAATGGTATCGATAAAATACCGCCCTTTTTGGAACAACTTGGCTTTCACATGCCATTGTGAAAACATTAGAACCTTTTTTGGTTTTATAGTCTCCAAAAAAGTCTATGGAAATACACCACCAATACTACTACTGACGAATATCATCTCACCACTCCGCTGCATCCAATTTCCAATTATCACTCATCAAAAGTATCACCAACGCTCACGCACACCAGCACTGTCATTCAGCCCCCGTCAAACGTTCGTCCATGGAAACGTAGTGTAACATGATGCTCAATGTAATGGGCGATTGAACAACAATTTAGCCGCCGCCGCCGCCGTGAGTGATGCAGCTGAATCGTTTACATGCTCATTATCCATTGACGTGACGTGACGTCATGTTACAATAGCAGCGATGCCTTTTCGTCACATTGTCAATCAGAGAGTCGTCATTAAAATTTGTTTTATCGCTTATTTTGTGGAGGCAGCCAGCAACGGGGCCAACTTTCTCTTTTCTGTTTTGGTCTAACAATAACACAACGTCAATCTCGAATCCTGTCACTCTCTGAGATATCTCCTGCAGTCATATCAACAATTGTTGTTGTATGTGCGTGTTTGAAAATCTATACGATTTGTGGGAATTCATTGAATGCTACTTAATAATAATGGAAATTGATTTGAATCCTCCAGCGAAATTTTGCGGTTTCGGCATCAAATAATTAGAGAGGGGATGGAATAGGATTTTAGAAAACTTCCAAAAAGGCATTTTCCCGAAGATCGAATACATTTGTGTTTAATGCTTTTCCTCGAAATCGTACATTGATCCAAAGGGTTGTGATATTGGCACTTTTATTATGTTTATTAATAACAAAGTAAGATGATTCAGTTACTTGTATATGAAAAGGTAAAATTGCTGTAGTTAGAATCGGCAAATGCGGCATGGAGGTCACTTACAGTGCAAGGAATTGGCATTAAACTTGATACTTATAACTTAAAGAGTACGGTAAGTATAAAAAAGCCACATAATCGTAAGAAATGTGGAGGGATTTTGGAAATTCGTACTTAAGGCTAACAAAAATACGTAAAGATACAAAATGGTTCAACAATTGTGCAATTAACTTTAAAAATTCTATGAGGGACACTCTTGGGTAGGATAAGGAAACTTTTTTGAAGAAATTTGTATTTAGAGGATCTAAGAATCACTAAGGTATTTTTAAGATTTTAACAGAATTTTTAACGGATTTTATTTTTTGGAAATTGCCAAATTTGTACCAAATGGTGGAGGGTATTAAAAGTTCGGGCCGGCCGAACTTACAGCTTTTTACTTGTTTAATGCTAACCTTGCTTTCCAAAATACTCCAGACACAATAGTCCAACGGATTGGTATCCGGAGATTTTGGTGGCCATTGTGCGCTGGAAATGAAGCGAGCTCATTTTTTAACCATTCTTGGTTGGCGGGTGCTGAGTGCGATGGTGCTGAGTGCGATGGTGCTGAGTCTCGTTGGAATGTCCAAGGTCTGCGACCAAAACGTTTGCGTGCCCAAGGCTTTAATATACCCTCCAGAATATTTTCGCGATAATATTCGGCATTTATTCTGATGTTACGGTCGATTAATACGAGCGGAGAGCGACCATCGGCTGTTATGGCGGCCCACACCATCACCATGGCCGGCGCTTTAGTTCTGGTGCCCACCGAAGGTGCACATTTTCAGCTGACCTCTTTGGCAAGTAAACACGATAATTTTGTTTGTTTACTAACTGCTGGACAACGAATATTTTCTCATCGGAGAAAACCAAATTCGGCAGTTCACCACTTTTGGCCAAGCGAAGCAACTCTTTAGCTCTTTCGAGTCCGTTTTCTTTCTGTTGCGGTATAGGTTCTTGCACTTTTTGGAATTTCAATTGCTTTACCTCGAGCTCATTTTTCACAATATGCCGAATGGAATATTGCGATATGTTCAGCTCACGAGCCATTTTTCGGCCACTGCGACTTGGGTTTTGATCAAGTCGCTTCTTTACTTTTCGAACCATTTCTGCTGATTTTGCTGTTTTCTTTCGTCCACTTCCTTGACGTCGGGCTACGCTACCAGTATCACGGTAACGAGCGATGGTACGAGACAAAAAAGATTTATTGGCATTTAAATGCTGGAGTGCTCTAACGATAGCCACTTGTGGTTTTCTAGCCAAATGTAAAGAAATCAGACTATCACGCTTGAATTCACCAAAATGCTTTTTTACGATCGTAGCAACATCAGCAGAAATGGTTCGAAAAGTAAAGAAGCGACTTGATCAAAACCCGCGTATATCGCAATATTACATTCGGCAAATATTGAAGAATGAGCTCGGGGTAAATCCATTGAAATTCCAAAAAGTGCAAGAACTTACACCGAAACAGAAGGAGCTAAAGAGTTGCTTCGCTTGGCCGAATTTGTTTTTTTTCTGATGAGAAAACATTCGTTGTCCCGCAGTTTTTAAACGTGCCGGCCATGGTGACGGCGTGGGCCGCCATAACAGCCGATGTTCGCTCATCACTTGTATTAATCGACCGTGACATCAGAATAAATGCCGAATATTATAGCGAATATATTCTGGAGGGCCTATTAAAGCCTTGGGCACGCAAACATTTTTACCACACACCTTGGACATTCCAACAGGACTCCGCACCATCGCACTCAGCACGCGCCACCCAAGAATGGTTACAAAATGAGTTTCCTCGCTTCATTTCCAGCGCAAAATGGCAACCAAAATCTCTAGACACCAATCCGTTGAACTATTGTGTCTGGAAGAATTTGGAAAGCAAGGTTGCCACTAAAAAATACCAAAGTGTCAATCACCTCAAGCAAGCGCTTCGCCGGGTATGGGCCAAAATACTGCAGAGCAACATTCGGGCAGCGTGTGCCGGTTTCAATGGCCGTTTGAAGGCCATAATTTGTGCCAAAGGTGACCAATTCGAACAAATCTAAACTTATTCTAAAATTTGATGCCATTTCCTAATTTTTTTGCTTTCATTCAATAAAATTAAAAAAGTGTAAAAAATATGGCGTTTCACTTTGTTGCAGTTTTTTTATCTCATCCTGCATAAAGATGTTTATTCAAAATCTTGACAGCATGTGGGGGAGGTACCTGAAGGAGTGGCCCGGCTTGTCAATATTTCAATCTAACTTAGCCCTTACCCTTCAGGAGAAGGCGGAACAGATATTATCCATTTTCGAACTTAGTTTGACATAAATCTAAAAATGCACAAAATTTAATACTTCCTTTTAGGACAAAATTTAATGCGGACTTTAAAAGACAGAATGCACACAGTACGAGTACCATTCTACGACTTTTCGTGCTAACATTCTAATAATTTGGATTCCGCACTCAATCAAAATTATTAATTTCACAAATCTAGTTTTACAACAGGCCACGACTACGAATGAAACAATATTAAATATAATTTTCAAATTCGTTCCCATTTTCGGTAAAGAATTTCCCATCCTTTTCAAGCTTGATTTCATTCCTTAAAATTCCTAAATCAGCCGGAATCCTATTACCAAATAATAGGATCCATAATCAAGTTATGACAATCATAACCACTTTCAAATCAACTTATTAACCCTTTATTTCCATAAGGGCATCTTGTCGACATGTAGACAAGTTTTGTTTAATTTTAAAATTACTATTTAATTTTACCACATTCCCCTTTTTTTTCTTTGTTAGTTCCTGGTATTGAACTCGCAATCTTATTATTTTGTATATAAACTAACTAAATATATATTGTGCTGCGGTTACGAATATAAATATTTGTTTCGAACCTTACATCTACAACAACAACTATTTTATAATGTTTTTCTTTGACGACGTGTCTTCGTCTTTGTAGTCGGACAAAAAAACTTTGAGCCAATTTTACTCATTACTTGGTAATGAGGAATGTAAGCTCTCTTACTTAATATTTTTCTTAGGAATATAGGCTATTCCAGCTATCTGTAATGCGGAAAGTAATCTCGAACTCATAGCTTTCGGTCTAAAAATCAGACGCGCAAATTTGTGCCAACGTTACCCATTACTCGGTAATGATGAAAGTAAGCTCTTCTTTTTACGGAATATGGGTTATTCCACCTATCTCTAATGCAGAAAGTAGTTTGTTTACGTTGCCTTTCAATGGAATATTCGGCTCATATTTATTAAATTTTTTTATTAAATTTTTTTTATTTAATTTATTAAATTTTTTTTATTTAATTTATTAAATTTTTTTTTAGAATTTTTCCCACTAGTTACAAAAATGCCTTTAACATTTTCTACATATTTGTTAATACCATTGAGTTTTTACCAATATATAAAATAAAATTTTATTTTGTATATAATTTTCACCCCCTTGCACACATTCGCCCAATGTGTCAAAGTAAATGCACGCAATTGTTGCACCTTAACAAAACAGGGTTAAACGTCAACAAGAAGTAACAGAGTGGTGGAAAACAACAGCAACAACAACCATGGCACACACCGCCGAAGAGCAAACAACAAACAGTATTTTCCCCATGCAACAAATACGGTGGCACCAACCATCCAACCAACAGACAAACCACACAATCAGTATTCCCAACCAACCATTTAGCTTTGGCTTGTATTTTATGTGTGGTATGGCCGACATGTTGCAAGTCGGAATAGAACAAACACGATAATGATGTTTCATGGCAAAGTAACAACGACGACGGCGACGACGATGATGATGGAAACGCCGAAGTTGCTGCTGGTGTATTACTAAAACGATGGTCAGGCCAATACGAAAAATTCAGTCGAGTACGAACGAGCAAACGCGATGAACGTCTTTGGTGCAGTGAGAGAACGGTATTGAAATTTTGAATTTGAAAAAAAGAAAATAACAGAAATTAAAAAACAACAAACAAAAAACAGTGCGTAACAGAAAAATTTTGAATTTGAAAATTGTGGAAAAAGAAAAATTTTTTAATTTTGGAAAATTCAAAGAAGGAATAGAAAAGTTCCCACCCGGAAAGAAAATACATTTTATCGAGTTTCGGATTATTTGTCGTTGTTTCGTTTTTATCAAACTATTATCAATTACAACAAAATTACGCTAATGTGTTTCGTGTGTGGTGCGGTGCGGGTCCCCCTTTTTGAGAGGGTTAAACTTACAAGTTTCCCACTGGTCGTTTGATTGATTGAAGAGGTGTTATTTGAAGTTTTGGGAAAAAATTAAAAGAAAATTTGCCGGCCCCAAAAAATGCATGGTGGTGGTCTTGTTCCAGGTGACTTCCGATAAACGGGGATAACAACAATATTCGAACAACATAAACATAAATCACCTGGTATTACTCTACGGCGAGTCAGTCAGTGTACCCTTATCGTCAACCGAATATAAACAACAGACAAGTCTTCTTCTTCCTCTTCTCGATCTGTTGGTGTTTATTTTTATTTTTTGCTGGAACCGATCCGTGTTTTGTTTTTTTGCCAAAGACAGCCAGCCAAACTCTATATAAACAATCCGTGGTAATCTTGTGGTGGTAATGGTGGACTTCACCGATTATAGAAAATAAACGTGTTTTAGGGCAAGCCTTCCGAAGCTGTCTGTTTGAGGTCTGCCGTCCGTATGTGTCGTATGTCTGTCGGTGTGTGCGTGCATGTTTGGGTTATTTTAATCGCTGTGCCCGGTGTATGATGGTGTTTAAACGTTTTCGTGAAGTTAATGCGCGCATTTTGTCGGCCTTTTGATCTTTTTTAAAGGCTTTTTCCAGCGATCAAAAGTAACATACAACAACAACACAACCATAACTACAACAAGAACCGACAGAAAGACAACAAACGCTGGAACACAGAGAGTGAAGACAAGTTTTCTTCTTCCATATAATCGTATAAATTGAAGTGAATGACTATGATGCCGATCAGGAGGATGACGATGATGATGACGATGATCTTACATGTATGTATGTGTGTGAATGTTTGAGAGTGATCATATTTGTCCGCATGCCGTCGCTGGCCAGCAACAACATTGTGTGAACAAGTGCCGGTCTCTAAGTCACAAACACACACAGATACACTCTCACACCTATACACAGGTTTTCATGGATGGCGGTAAAAATCTAAAACAAACGGATCCTCTAGATCTTTTTTTCTTCTTGCATAGCCGGCATTGAGGTGAAGTGATGTCCAGTTGAGCAACAAAAACATAAAGTTGTTGTACAAGAACAATAACCACACAGAACCGCTGAACTTTTGTGAACAACAAAACACAAGAAAAATCTTGAGAAAACTGAGAACAGGCTTCCGAGGAATAAGGCCAATAAGGCAATTAAAAGCAAAACAAAAAATAAAAAACAACAACAACAATTTATTTTATAATTGAAAGAAATGTGTCAAACTATTTAACAATACAAACGGTAGCAACCACAACAACAACAACAAGTATTAAAAATAACCCACCAAAATCCTTTTGAAAAAAAAAAACGCCAAAAGAAATCTCAAATATCCGTTCGTTTTTCTTAAAATAAAAATAAAATAATCCATAAAAAATTATATAAAATTTAGTAATTATTTTAATAATAATAAATAACTAGTGCTAATAATTTATTAAAACTCCCAACCAACTTGCTTCCCAGTACTTAGAACAAAATACACAACTAAATCAAGCCTAAACTTAGACTTTAGCAATTACAAATAGAAGAAGAAAAGCCAAAAAGTAGTCTACATTTCCTCTATTTAATATTTAAATAACAAACAACAACAAAAATGCATATTTTATGGTTCTTAACCATGGCCCTGCTGGCCCTATGGCATTTACAACTCTCAACATGTGATGACATTACCCTAACCCAATCGACACAAACAAACTCTGGAGGCTTACAGCAGCAGCAGCAACAACAACACAACCCAAATGGACCGGGTGTTATGGGTTCGAATACTCTGACATCTGGACAAAATATAGGAGGCCTAGTTAATAACCATCAGCAGCAGCAACAACAACAACAGCTAACGAACACAAATCTCAATCAACTGGCTGGCAATAGCTCTCTGCTGAATTCCCTGATGAATGCGAATGCAAATGGTAATGTCCTATCTCCGGCCCTAAGCGGCGTCTTGAGTTCCCTGGGCAGCAGTGGTGGTGTTGGTGGTATCATTGGCCATTCGGGAGGTGGTTCTATGAGTTCTCACGGTGGTGGAGGTGGCACCATGGGTATGGGAGGTGGTGGCGGCGGAGGCGGTCATCATGGTCATGCCCTGGCCGGTTTAGCGAATTTGGGTATCATAGTGCCCGGTCATCGTACGGGAATCACCAATGTCGATACGGGAGGACGTTATAATCCACCCTATTTGGGCATGGGCAATATGGATGGAAATAGTATGCAGCAAGGCGGTGGCAGCAGTAGTCTTGGCGGTTCACAATACTAGTAAGTACAACAATTTTTATTTTTTATACTTTTTTTGATAGATGTTAAAAACTGCCAATGAACATGGGGAATGGAACCTATATTGACCTTTTAGGTTTAAGAATATTGTGCTTTTTTGGAGTTAAATAAGAAGTCAACCCAGCTATTCTTATAAATTGTAAAGTTTAAAAGAAAATATCTATTAAATGCATTTAAAATTTTGGTTTTCTTTATGACACAAAATATGTGGAACCGGTATGTCATTTAATATTTTCCAAAATGATGATTATTTCTTTCTCAAAATCAATAAATAATTTAAATGGAATGCTACCGATTATGATTAAATTTAAAATTCAAATATATTGGCCAAAATCCCCAGTTTTTTACTACAACGACTCCAAAATATTGATATCATTCAACATTAAATATATTCAAACTTAGGTAGCCAAAAAATTTGATGCTTGTATTTTAGAAAAAAAAAAAAAAAACAAATAAAATAAAATAAAAAAATAAATAAGCAGTTAAGGTCGGCCGACTTTTAATACCCCTCACCATTTGGAAAGCAATACTTTTGAAAATATGTCTATAGGTTTCGAGTTATATGGGTCAATACATTGTTTGGTTTTATTTCCGTTGAAAACATTTTTGGAAAAATCACCAAAATGCCGAATACGTGTGTAACTATTTTTCTGTCATAGGATATGGTACCTTATGCCAAGCCTAAACACCAACTTTGAAAGATTCCGTTGAACAATTTGGCTAAAATCATCGAAATAACGAATATCGAGGATACCGTTATATGGGATCTATACCACAACTCGGGGCCTACGTAGACAATTAAGTACAATCATGTCTCAAAAAGGGAACATAAACTATCGATTCACAGAAAATTAGGTTGACGAATGGGATCAAAACCACCAAAAAAAAAAAAAAAAATAAAATAAAAAAATGGCAATACCGTTTTCAATACCAAATATTCTAGGGCCCAAAATGCATTGACTGCAATTTTCGTTTCCATAGAGGGCATAGAATTTTATGCTTATAAAGAATATATATACAGAATGTATATACACTGTAGTGCTAAGAGTGATTCTTCCGAGGAGTATTTGTGAAAGAAGAAGGGGTCAATTTTAGTTATATGAATGCGGGGAGTATATATCCTTAATAACTCTTGAAGGGAGGTCCGATTTAGTCCAAACTTGTGAGATAAAAAAAACTGCAACAAAGTCAAACGCATAATTTTTAAATTTTTCACGCGCTACCCGAATGTTGCTCTGCGGTATTTTGGGCCATTCCCGGCGAAGCACTTGCTTTAAGTGACCGACACTTTGGTATTTTTTAGTGCAACCTTGCTTTCCAAAATACTCCAGACACAATAGCCCAACAGATTTGTATCCGGAGATTTTGGTGGCCATTCTGAGCTGGAAATAAAGCGAGGAACTTTATTTTGCAACCATTGTTGGGTGGCGCGTGCTGAGTCCTATTGGAATGTCCAAGGTCTTCCGCTTAAATGTTTGTGTGTCCAAGGCTTTAATACACCCTCCAGAATATTTTCGCGATAATATTCGGCATTTATTCTGATGCCACGGTCGATTAATACGAGCGGAGAGCCATCGACCATCGGCTGTTATGGCGGCCCACACCATCACCATGTCCGGCGCTTGAGTTCTGGTAGCCAACCGAAGGTGCACATTTTCAGCTGACCTCTTTGGCAAGTAAACACGATCATTTTGTTTGTTTACCAACTGCTGGAAACGAATGTTTTCTCATCGGAGAAAACCAAATTCGGAGATGGAAAATTCTCAAATGGAAAATTCTCAAGAAAATGCTTTTGTACGCTTGTAAACAACATAATGAGCTGTCACTGGAATAACAGCTTAACAGCTGTCGGACGAGTGGCTTAGAAATGACAGCAGTCTGAAGTTGGTTGCAGTTTTTTCATCTCACTCTGTATATTTTACATCGCAATTCTTTTACACACCATTGATCAAGTTGGAAAATTCACTGAATCAGTTACATTGCCGTCAACCGATAGATTTAAAAATTACAAAAAATATTTTATTTGAACCGTTTCAATGAATGGAAATATTTCGATAGATTTTAATGACTCTACCTCTCTTATGGCTCTTTTCTGCATTTTGAATGGACTCATCATCATGGATGAATATTTTTTATGGATGAATATTTTTTATCTTTGGTTTCTTTAAATTTTTATTTTGTATTATTCCTCGGATGGGAAGTCTAAGAAAACTACAAAGTTCTTATAAAAACTTTTTAAGAAGATAGGACTTATGGTTTTCCAAAAGCATAATTCTTCATAAAATTTATAAAAACTAATTTGTAAAATAAAGGTTAACATACATAAAGGGATAAGAAAAAGTTAAAAAATCTTTGGACTTCAGAATTTCTATTATAAATTCATTGAAGCATTTTTTTTTAAGTTGGTCTATGAAGAATATTAAAAGCAACTCGCGATTATATAAATTTAAAATATATTTTCCTTTAACAAAATTGTTTATTTGATATATAACAGAAAAATATAAAAGAAATTCCGTAGAAATAGTTTGGCAGTTTCCCAATAAAGATAAAAATATATACAAAATTCTAGAAAAAAAAAACAAAAAGTTTGTTTTGGGATTTCAACATTTTTCAAAAGTCTTTCGACCAAACTTTAATTTATTTGACACATTGGGGAGTCAAAGCTTTAAAGAAATTTAATAACAGATATTTGTTCTTAAGAACCAGGCGTTAGAAGTAGTTTTCCAACTAACCGATATTTATTCACGATTGTGTCTTAACCAATTGTTTACTCACGCTTTTTTCAAGCAGTGTTAAGTATTGACACATTCTCTTTATTTCAGAAAAACTAGCAGGAATTTGTTAAGGTATTCGAACAAAGTTCCAAAATCTCACGTCAGTCTTATATTTGTTTATTGGGCACTCTGAGATATACACTGTGTTCCAGCAAATTTTTAAGGGTCAAACTAGTAAAATACCTAACAGACAAAATTGTACTAACATAATTAACCCATTTGAGAGTTTGGGAATGAAAAATTAGTAAAATAGATCAAAATAGATAGCTTCCTATGTGTTGTCGATTTTACCAGTAAATATTTTCTTACAAAAATTGGAAAAATGTAAATTAAGAGATTTTTTACAGCCATCTTTGTAAAGTTTGACATCAAAAGCATCTATCGACCATGTGAGCAGTATAGTGTATATATTTTTAATTTTGAAATCCATTATTTTTCATTCTAAAAATGCAAACAAGTTTTCATTCCTTTCCAAATGCAATATTTAAAAAACGGACAGATTTTAATAAATAAATTTCAATTAAAAAGAGAATAATATCATTGCACCCAAAGAAATGCTGCAAAATATAAAATATGTACCCACCCCTCAAAAGTGTCAAGTAAATTCAAATTAAATGCTATTTGAATTCTCCCCGGGATGTCAAGACATTTATGACCTGCAAGTCATAACACAAAAAAACCTCATTCAGATTTTTATGATTATCCTGAAAATTTTTGTAATTTGCGGAGAAAACATTAATTTTGTTATTATCCATTGTAATGAATGTTATATTTCCGTTACACCATAAAATTATCCTTCCTCCCCCTGGCGGTTAAAAATGCGTTCATGGTGGCGATGATGACGATGATGATACCTTCCATGGCACAAGCCAGAACAATGCCGCATCAGAAATAATTTATATTCTTTGGGGAATTTGGTTTATGCGTTTTGAGTTTTACATTTCTTTTTTTTTTCCTCCATGTTACTGGGAAAAGTTGCATTTTTATTACGGCGATTACTCACAAAAAACAAAAATGACGTTAAAACCGCAGCAGTTCCACTTGGGCTGAAGTCGTCAACACCAAACAATACCCCCCAAAAATAAAATACAACAATGGACATTCAAACTCTTGTGTTCTCTTTCTGTTACATTAGCCGAACAAATCATCAGCATCTTGCATCTATCGTTAATCACTCTCACCCCCGCATACATGGCCATAGCGGAAGGCAGGCCAACTGGAAAACTCTTCTATGCCAGGGATGGATGTTGTGTGTTGATTACGGATTGTTTCATGGAAGGCAAAAATTAGAATTTTCCCAAAGGATATAGAGTTTTAGGAAAGGCAAAATATGTTTTTCAAAAAAAAAATGTTGGATTTTAATTTTAACACAAGAAGGATTTAAAAACTCTTGTTTGGGCGCCAGTGAAAACCTTAGAAGAAGTGGATTGTATTACGAATAAAAATACAAAATTCGTAATCAAGTATAAGACCTTGATTTTTGGTGCGTAAAATAGGAGGTATATTAATTTTGTCAAATGGAACTTCTCCAAATATCGCAGATCCCAAAAATGTATAAACAATACATTTACGTAAAAAAATGAACGATGTAATAACCAGAAAAAGGCTACGCTGTTTTATATAGAGTCATAGACATTCACATAACAGTTTGCATTATGTCTAGGATGATTGGTACTGAAAATTGACTATATCGGTCAATGTATAGGCATTACCTCGTATGTGTGCAGCTACAGTTTTTAACATTTTAGTCACAATTTAATATTTTGCTTTCTGTCTGTCTTTGAAAAAACTTTGTATTAAAATTTGTGTAAAGGATACCAATTTGGTATTTGTGGTATAAATTTATATTACGTATTTTTAAACCCTCCACCTCCAAAATTTGTCGGAGACCTTATCAAGTACAGGGTGAGATAAAAAAAACTTAAAAAAGTTAAAATTTTCATATATTTTTTAATTTTTTTTTTTTTTTTTTTTTGAATGAAAGCAAAAAATTTCGGAAATAGTATCAAATTTTAGAATATGTTGAGATTTGTTCGAATTGGTCACCTTTTGCACGAGGTATGGCCTTGAAACGCTGCCCGAATGTTGCTCCTTGGTTTTTTTGCTTTAGAAAATACTCCAGAAACAAAAGTCCAAAGGATTGGTATCCGGGGATTTTGGTGGCCATTGGGCGCTGGAAATGAAGCGAGGAACCTCATTTTTTTTGACC